GGTTTGCTGCAAGTCCAAAACTAAGCAATCTCCGTATTTCTAAGCAGAATGAAAGCCATTTTTCTATAGACGTTATGAACATACGTTATAACATAAAGTTTTAGAAAACACATAACGTAGAATATAAGGTTCTGAAACATCTTTGTCTCAGTCACTCTTTTTTTTTTTTTTTTTTTACAACGCCCCGAGTAATAAGGAGAGTGATGTTTGTGGTGTTCTCAGTCATTTACTGTATCTCAGAGCGTTCGTTTGTGATGAGTAAAGCTGCAACAGATCCCTCACACCCATGCACACACCCACACAACTTCACTGACCTACTACTGTTTTCAATTTGATTCAAAGTTCAGCTGTGACATTTATTGATCTTAAACCTTAGTTAGCGCGCACACACACACACCCACACACACACACACACACACACACACACACATATACAATCCACCTGTTGGTTGAGAAACTTCCCACCACTGACTCATGGATTTCTTCAGCGAGTAGGCATTTGGACGACAATGTCATGGTTTCACACAGAAAAACCAAAACCAGTTTGATTCAAACCAGTACTAACCTGACACATATAGACACACATGCATGCACTGAGAAGTCATTCTGACATGTTGCTCATCTCTCTCTTGTTGTTTTCTTCTTCATATTGCAGCTTGTTTTTTTGTCTGCTACTACTGCACACAGGGTAAACGTTTTGGTTCACTTTGCTCTTTGTAAAGGGATTCACTTCAAAGATCTATTTGAATCGTTTCAACTCTAGCTTTGGGTCTTTTCAGCGACAATTACTTTCTTAACATGGGTAGTTTTATACTTTCTTAAGTAGAAACTACTGCATGGATAAAACATTAGCAGTGTGTCATAATATGTTTTCTTCCATAGTTACAGTTTTTGATATTTTGAGTTCATTAATGTGCTTACACTGATCCTTGAAAATACAGTCTAAAGATGAGCGAGGAATGCCTCATCCTTCTGAGCCTTTTTGTTTGGCATCTTGGCTAGGTAGCAGAAGAAGAAGATGGCCATATAGTTTTTTTTTTTTTTAAATAAACCTGAGTTAAAGTCCAGTGAGCAATCAACCTGATTGTTACTTTACCAGTGACTACCGCCAGATAATGCACAGCTTAGTTGCAGAAGAAGAAAAAGAAAAATAAGAAAGTGTCAACATGTTGCCATTGTGTCCTCTATTAACTGCAGAACAGTCAAGTTGGATTTTAAATTAAACTCTCCTGCTGAACTGATACTGAACTGATACTAAATAAACTCAGTGTAGAGAGAGAGAGAGTGGTTAACTAAAGTACCCAAGGTTTATAGATGAACTATAAGTCTTTATAATTTAATTTGGGTAATATATATATAAAAAGTTTAAAACAACCACTAAATGGGCCTTTATGTCAATCTTTACATGTGTTTTGGATTTAAGGGGAAAAACTGACTTTTTAAATCATTTATCATACATTTCAGGTTTAGTTTTGGCATTTCTTAATGTCTCATACCGTGTAAATGTTACCTTGAGACCAACTTATCAGTCTGTAATCAATCGTATATGCAAAGATTATCATTAGAATGTGACATCGCATGTGGAATATCATTATAGAAATGTAAAACAACGGTCTTTAACCTGATTACTGGTTATTCTGTCAAGTAAAATTATCATCCATTTTCAGGTTAGATTTACCCGAGGCTGTCGCATTCAGAATAGCTACATCAGATAGGGTTTTTTTTTTTTTTTCAGATGTAAGGGGGTTGGAGTGTGTTTGGTGCTTCTCTACCCAGCAACAGAGAGCTGAGTCATCTCTGTCATAGCCCTCCCCCACATGCCCACGCTGCACTGCTCTCGGTCTTTCAGTAGTGGAGATGCACGGACATGATACCAAAACTAACTGCATCACTTCATCCAGACCCACGGAAGACAAAAACACACTTTTACCGTAAATAAGGGAGCCTTGACGGAACAGGGGCGGACATACTTCTGTGTGTGTGTGTGTGTGTGTGTGTGTGTTGTGTGTGTGTGTGTGTGTGTGAGTGTAGGAAGCCTCTTCTGACAAAATACCGAAACTGACACCACTTACATAACATTATGAAGAGTGTTTGAGATGACAGGAGAAAGAAAGAGAGACAGAAATAATAAAAAGTACATTCATTACAAAAAAAGATCTCCTTCTTTGTTTTCTCCCAAGCATCAAAGTCGGGTTTGATGTTCCTTATCAACGCTGACATGTATGAAGGTCAAGGTTAGCATTCCTGCTGTACTTGACGGTGCAGTTATTAGAAAAACTCACGAGCAAGCAGGCCATAACTGCCACTGAGACATCTAACACATGTTTATCCTTTATTTGATTTTTTCTGTTGTTACATTATTGGATTAAGTATAGATTTGGAATTTTTTTAAAAGAATGACGTTTAAATGTGAGATCAAGATATGTTGTCAACAAGAATGACATTCTCACTGTGCACCAAGAAGCCTAAGCTATACTTTTTACATCTACAAAAAACATGAAGATCTGAGTGACATCAAGTTGAATGTCCCTGAGTTTCTGGACATAGGTAGATCAGATGCTGCAAGTTAGATGTAAAATGTTTCTTATACCTATGAATGAAAATCTGTTAAGAATGCCTATGAACAGATCTGCACTGTGGATTTGCTACAGTCACGAGTTACATACAGCTAAGTAAGCTACCATATATAAGCCAGTTAGTGGCTGGATGCTAATGTTAGCTTTTGTCAGGTAAAGCTTATGGCTTATCAAATATGTAGTTTATAGGCTACCTGAAATAAAGCCTAGTTGGTGATCAATCTTGACACACTGAAATGATAATGAGTTGTCAGATAACCTAAATGTATAGTAGTTCTTATCTTTAAGCTAGCAGTATAACATAATCAGAATCAGCATCCAAATCAGCTTTATTGGCCAGGTACAGTATGCTCGCACACACAAGGAATTCGACTTTGGTCAACTGAACACTGTACAAATAATATCGGCATTTGAGCTTACCACCCTGAGCATTACACCAAAAGAAATGGCAACTGTTGGATGATGGTCTACTCTAGGCCATCTTCACAGTGCATATCCTCTCCCTGGTCTAAGGAGAATACATCATTGTGGCTAGCAATGCTAAAACTCATTGAGAGTAATATCTGATTTCATGTTGCATTTTTTACTTGATTGTGAGATTTTGCAGACAAACCCAGAGAGGGAAAATGTACAATAAGGGTACGTTTAATCTACCTCATACACAATATGTACAGAGACCAGAGCAGAAAGTTACAGGGATTAATTAGAAGAGCTGGCTTCCTGGTGAGTTCTGAGAAATGTAGAGGATGAACTGAACACAAACACACTAAGTGCTAAACACCACAAAACATAGATGGCCACACTGTGTCCGGATATAGTCCTCTTAAATGTGAGTTCTCTATGTTGTATAGTGCTATCTGAATGTCTTACTGTAAGAAACATGATACACTAGTTGACTCTGTGTATCACAAAAATGCATTGTGAAAGTAGTGCAAAGCTGAGTGCTACAAATCCAGTGCTATATACTATATTATTTAGCATTGAGCTAAAACGCAGACAACATAAATTAACTGCATACAGAAAAATTAGCTAAGTAGTGTCAGGCGCTATTTTTAGTTATTTTTGCAAATGAGCTCACAATATGGTTCTCTACACACATCCTCTCTTTATAGCACATTGGGAGTACTGACTCAGTGAATTATTTCAGAACCAACCAGCGTGTGTTGCTAGCTAGTTTTCAACTAACGTCTCAGCTGTTTTGCCCAAATAAGCTAAGACTGCATTTACAGTAGAGTCTGCTTAGATTTCTGTCTGTACAAAAAGAAACATCATTATAAAGCAATAATGGCATCCAGCTGGCTTATTAGTCTGAAGGCCAATGATGCATGTTTTGGTCCTAAATGCTGGGCTAGTCCAAAACCCCCTTCCATCACACACAAAACAGCAATCTCTTTGATCTGTCAAAATAGCAACAGTTACGTCCTATTAACCATTTCTGGTTATGCGTCTCATGAAGAGCTTTTATTGAATGATTGGTGGAACCAACATGGAAGAAGGTAACCGACCATTTTTCTTACATCATTGGAAGTGATGGTTTCATGGCAGTAGCTAGTTGAGAGTAAGATAGAAAGGCAAAAAGATCAGACAAGATCAGATAATGACTTGCCAATCAAACATACATCAGGCATATAACATACTGCTCAGAGATCTTCCATAAAGTGCGTCAATATAGATTGTGAAACAGTCACTAACGTCACTGAAACACTCACTCCTTCTCACTGATTTGAGATGAAGGTGCTTCTGAGCTCTTTACTCTGTTGTTTCATCTTAAAGCTGCAGTAATATCATCAGGAAATATAAGGTCGCCACTTTCACTTTAGCCCTTCACAGGTGCGGTCAGTGCGTCACACCATGATTACATGACTAAGTTTGGAGAAGCGGCTACTTGCCAAGTGCCAAATTTAGCCGATATCTTAGCAGAGGCTGCCAACAAACTGAAAACCATTGCTGCAGAGCAAAAAAAAAAAAACACTTTTGCATGCACTATGCTATTTATTGATGTAGGAAATTTCCTTATTATGATTTATTTCCAAAAAAGGGGATTTTTCAGCTGCTTTACGGAAACTTAAAAGAGATATAAAAAGTACCCAGAGAACCCTTAAATAGCCATTCAGCACCTCAAAAAGTGAAATCCAGCAAAATTCGGAAACGATCGCAATACTTTCCATCTAGGTCTTGAACGCTTCATGCTCTATAGTCGTGTTTTATCTTAGGTCTGACAAATGAACCACTTAAAATTATGGTTTGTTAAAACTCTATCATAAGGAGAAAAGCTGATCTAGAACGACAGAGATTTTCCTTAACCAGCCCACGCGTTCAAATTCAAAAGAAAAGAGTGCCCCAGACTTGCATTCATTCTTAGCCTGATAAAAAAAAAACCAGCAAATATGTAGAAAAATAGATGTCCAGCTTGTCTTTACTCACCAGTTTGTGTCCTCATCTTCCTCTTCATCAGAAAGTATTGACTGAAAACTAAGAGGGGCACAAAAGGAGAGGAAAAAGAAGAGAGAAGGAATGTTTTAATCACTCTGAAGGAAGACAGTTATCTTCCCACACACATTGCTGAGTCTGCTGCTCACACAGAACACACACACAAACGTATAAACCTCCAGAGGTCAAGGATAAAACAGGACAAGGGTAAAAGAAATGGGAAAAGAGATTTAGAGAAAGGCAGAAGGACATCAAATGAAAGGACCAGAAAAGGAAAAAGGAATGTCGAAAATGTAGAAAGAAAAGCAGATGACAGAATGAGAGGCGAGAGCAAAGAGAGAATGAAAGGCATGGCTTGGCTGAGTCATCGGTAACCACCACTTCCTCCAAAAGCTCGAGACTAATGAGTGGCCAACTTTGTGAAGGCATGCACAAACACACGCAGAGAGAGACCTACACATTTACACATAAAGAAAAAAATCACAAGAATCTCATACTTAAACTGAAATCTTTTTTTTTCCATTTTCGCTCCAGCTTTAAACTGCTTGCAATATTTCTGTATTCCTGTGTGTTTTAATGGGTGTGTTTGTTTAAGAGAAAGTCTGAGAAATTGACCCATGAACTGACCTCACTGTGTGTGTCATGAGAAACAGCCCGGCCTCCTGCTAATTTAGTTGCATTTCTATTTTCCCAGAAGCACAGTTTTTGCTTCTTTTTTTTCCTATCCAGAAAAGGGTAACTGATCACTCTGCTACACCCAGACTTCATGTGAGTGGAGTTGCTAGGTATAGTGCCTTGCTTAAAACAATAGTTGACCATTTTGGAACCATCTTTTCTTTTTTTCAGACTGAAACTAACAGATTGTTGTGCATATGTATGTTAAAGTGAGCCTATGTAACTTTTGAAAGCGTCAATAACGCCATTTTATTTCACTTCTTTGTGACCCTGTTTAGGTTGTGCACAAATCCTTTAAGTTTAAGGAATGTCGTTTATTTGAATCCACATGGCCTTGACTGGCAATGGTTTCATTCTATGTCTTTGTCTAGCTTCCTTTTTTTTTGTGCAAATCAGCGCACTTGACCTAACTTGCACTTTCAGTGACATTTAAGTTACTATTATCTGGCATAAAGTTATACATATGACACAGCAGCTGTAGTGGGACACATAAAAAATGAACCTATTGTGTCATCTTGAAAATCATACATGATATTCATGCCTATTGTACAGTCAGATGTTAACCTAAAGAAACTCACTTTGATACAGTTTGCTGTGTTTGTGTGTTGGTCCACCTAAAATCACCTCTCATAGCATACAAAATGGAACCACAGATTTCACTGTTACTCTGTGATATATAGTCACGTTAGACATCATCCTGTCCCTTGGGTGATTGTGCTAAAAATTAGTTCCTGCCTCTCCAGCTCTTTCTCTCTTCCGGAGGAAGTCATGGGAATTTGGTAAAGACACACATCCTCCTCTGCAGTTCCCACACTTTCCAGAACTCACACACACACACACACACACACACATAAACGTGATCTTTCATATTCAGTGTAGTCAGTCATATTGGCAATGAACAGGATATAATAGTTCTGCAATATCAATGACGAGTCCTTTCATCCTTAAGCTATAGTATTTTTTAAAAGTAACTTAACTGTAAATAATGGCAAAACAATTGATAAATAAATTCTAATGTAAAGTCCTTTAAAATGGAGGAACATGACTCGCTCTAATCAGATGACACAAACTGAAAACAGCTATCGAGTAAACAAGCACAAGTTACTCTTTCAAGTCCCCATGAAACGGACCTTTGAGAGTATCTAATTGCTGTGTCATGATGAATTTCCATCAGGATAGAACCAATCACAAAATAGAAAATCTAACGTTGGGATGAATTTGATTGGAAAAGTTTTACAGGAAGAGAAAACATGGTTATTTTGGTGTAAAATATACCCTCCTCAGATGTTTCTTTATTTAAATATATTTGGCAGATAATGACGGTAAAATTAACATTTAACATGTAAATGCTGGATTAGAACTGGGAAAATGTACAGTAGCCTATATTTAATTACATGGGGACTTTAGGCATCTGCACAGTGCTAAGCTAACTGCTAATCTCAGTATGCTAATGGTCATAATGACAATGCTAATATGATGCAAGTATAATGTTTACGACTGATACTGACTTTATATGGTATGATAGCATGCTGACATTTGCTAGTTGGCTTTATAAATCAGACAATCTGTAAGTACAAAGACAATGAGAAAGTAAAAGAAGTGCTGGCTCAGCAAAGAGGTCTTTGTGGGAGGATTGGGGGAGATTGAGTCAAAACATGAGTCAAATGGAGTATACGTAACACATTTTCTTCAAATGAATTGCACTCTGCTGCATCTGTGTGTCTGGAAATCCAACCTTAGAAACGTTCAGTTTGTGTTATATGCCTTTATCTTATTATTGAATCATAGTGCTTTTGAGATATGGGCCTACTGCTTGTACTCACTTAAAATTAGATCGCCCTTAAAGTTAAAACAACTGCCAAACCAAATAAGAAACAAGACATATCTGTCTTACATCAACATATTCCTGCGATGGTATTTAAAACAGACAAAATATAACTTTTCTTTAAATAGGAAGCTAGAGCCTTTCAAAGCTCTGAGAGGAATGTTCCTCCTCATATACCATATAATTACTTTTCCTACATGGCTGGAGAAAAGTCTGTCGGCTTCTGTGTCTTCAGAGACAGCCTATCACAGTGTTATTTTATTTCTGGATGTACACAACATTTGATCTGACAAAGGACAGTGTGGTTAGGTAAGTTTAAAACCAGTGCCTCGCAATGTGAATATGTTCCTTTGAAACAGCAACTTTCAATTGTTTGGTTGTATTTCAGTCACAAACAACAAAAAAACAAATACTTTGGTATATTGTTTTACTTTATATGTTTTAGCAGGTGGCTAATATAGTTGGCTTGTGTAGTTTGTAAGTCCACAAGAGGTGAAAGCTTCAGAGGGTAGATGTTTATTAGAGGGAATGTCAGCACAAAGTGAGTTCAAACAGTTTGTTATTTGATCATCTATGTCACTTAATTACATATAAAATAAAGTTTTCAAAGTTCCATCTTAATTCAAAGTGTGAATTTGGTACATTGATTATTTTCAATATTTTGATGTCTTTTGCTAATATTTTGTAGCAATAGCCTCAAAACTCATTATATTATTGTTCATATTAGCCAGAGTAACATCAAACTTCAATAGTTCCTGTATGTGCTGATCTTGCAGACTTAGTTCTATGTCAAGCCTTTATTAAGCACAGAGGAACAGCTTCCTTGGTTATATGAAAAGAGAAATAGGCCTATAGCTAATCATAGATATTATGATTTAAAAAAAAGGGTCTAACGTTGCCTGGGCATCACCATGGATGTGTTGAGTCACCAGACATGTCTCATCACTTTGTAGGGGGTCCCACTGACTCAGCAGGTGATGGGGCCCAGACACTGACCTCCGTTCAGGCTGTTTGCCATTGGAAAATAAAACAGTTGGTCTGTTACACTTACAAAACTGATGATTAATAAAATACAAGTGGAAAACCTGGTAACTTATCCTGCTCAAAATCTAAAGGTAATGAAACGTATTAGATTAGCACCCTGCACATCTTGAACAGCCAGACCCCTATTGTTATTATATTCCTTTATTTAACTACAATATGGTAATCAAAAAAACATTTTATTTCAACTAAGCCTAACTCCCAGTCTTCTTGAGTCTTTTCCATTGCCTCAAAGCCACACTACCTCCTCTGTCCTCTGAACTTTTAAGTTTACTGGCTGTGAGCGGCTGCTGTGTGACAACGTGGAACAAATTGGTGTTTTATACCATGGAAACTCTGTTGGCAGGAGGATTTGGATATTTCACAATTAAAGAACCAGCCCCCACAAATAACCATTTAGTGAGTCCCTCTTTCTGTTTGTGTGACAGTATATTTATTAATCATGCACATGAGGGGGGGTGAACAATGGAGGACACAACTGAAACATCCATCCTCACAGAGTAGTAATCCTGCAGATTAATCTGGAAAAGCTATGGTGAGGGTAAAAACTGTTATTTTCCAACACAAACTCAAGTTAGACTCGACCTTCCTCCTCACTGATCACCACACTGTTAAGACCAGGACATACTCTTAATAAGTTAGTTTACATTTCAGGTTGTCAAACCAAGTTTGTAGAGAAAGGTGTTTCTAGGCAGGGTAGAAATACCTGGGGGAAATCTGTCTTTAATGCACGATTTTCTACTTATGGAATATACGAAAAGTGACAGAAAAGGTTGATTCCTTCACCGATTTATTACTGGTTGTTGTCTGTCTTTTCTGTCTCCCTTCATGTTCTCATTGTCTGTCAGTATATCCTTCTTTATTCCTCACTCTCTTTATGTTTCTCTTTCTCTCCCTTCCATGTCCCACCTGTTTGCTATGGATGGCTGCTCACCAATGACTCTGGTTCTACTTAAGGCCTCTGTCTGTTAAAAGGACATTTTTGCTAAACACTGTTGCCATGATCTTACTCATGGTGGTTTATTATCGAGTCTTTCTAAATAATCAAACAAAAAATACAGTCTAAACCTGCTTTATATTGAGGTGTCATGAAATTACGTATGGCCAAGTTTGGAGCTTGACTAATAAGAATTGATAAATTGAGTTGTTATTTCAAAGGTCCCACATTATGCTTTTATATGCCCTTTAGTGTGTTTTCCAAGTGTCCTGTGCATGTTTAGGCACATCTATGTGCACAAATTCAAAGTCTGCGGAAACGCAGCTTCTCCTACGTCCTCCTGTTAGCTGTAGCATTAGCCGCATGTAACACTCGGTTCTAGCCCCCCTCGAAAAAAAATTGTCAGTGCGGCGCCATTGTCAGTGTGAGATCACTGATCTAAGCCCATTGGCTCGTTGTGGCAAGCCCTGCAGCTCATGTTGAAATTTCCGAGAAGCGTGCTGAGCAACTGACCAATAACGACAGAGCGAATCGGCAGACCAATCAGAGCAGACTTGGTCCACG